CCCATTTTACAGATGAGGAAACTGAGCCACACAGAAGCTAACTTCCCTGAGCTCACACAGCTAGCAAATGGAGGCAGAATTCAAACCTAGCCTCTTAACCATCATATTGGCAATCTCAGAGGAATTTTCTGAAGATTAATGAAGTAAATCATGGAGAATGGTCAGTATACTGACTAATAATGCTATTCATAAAAATTATCCATTATTATTAATTAGCAACAGGCATATGAAAATTATTCTCATACACTATATGGGCAAATATTAAATCCTAACAAATAATTTTGTTCATCCTTTCATGGTTTTTGCTAAAGAACTATTCAGAAGAGGCCAATTCTGTGGTCTAGAGATGTCATTTAGAAACTCCTTTACTCACAATGTCCCGTCATCTTCCAGAAACTATATCATGTGCAGAATGTAAACAATACTAAATTAGATTACCATTTTTCCTTTGACAACAGAATATTTGACCACGAATATATAAATAGAGCCTTTAAAATGCAGCCTTAAACCATAATTTTTAATACACATTCACTCCAGTTTACATTCTTTTTCTAAATAAGATTTCTTAAAAATACTCTAGTTGGATAAAGCTGTATTTTACTAAATCAAAATTACAGTGAGAAAAACAAATTCAGACAATTTGTTAGTGTTCTAAGCTTTGTAGAAATGATAAAACAACTTTAAAAGAACTTCTGATCATATAAATTTGAAAAACTGAATTAACCTACCATCCTAAAATAGGCAATATATAATTAAATAAATCTTGAAAAGCAGAAAATATAGCCACCTAATTCAAGACTGTATCTCTTATCTTCTTGGAAATCTGATACAACCAATTCAAAATTACTATTTGAATTACCATCAGAAGTCCTCCAAACCTACTTGTAGTGAAGATTCCAATGGCATCTGGTTTTATGTCACTTAAAGGCAAATTCATCGCTTTACGACAAGTTTAAACTTCCTCTTGAGTTCGAATCTAAATTTACAATAGACAAAACTCAGAAGGAGAGCTCTTAGTTCCGCTCGCTCACACCTCTTTTCCGCCCTTCCCCAATCCTCACCCACAGACAACCAAAAATAAACACTCCAACTAGCAATATATGAACCGACCAATCTGAGGCTCCCATGGACTTAAGACACCAGGAAAAACAAAGATGGAAAGAATCACTGCTTTGCAAACAAGGCCTTAATTAGGTACGTAAATAAAAGTCCTTTTACTGCTACAGCCCTAAGTCCTTCCGAAGGAAGGTTTCCCAATCAGTTCTCACACTTACACAACACAAACATCAACACGCAGGTTCTACCAAACAGCCATCTGAACATAGACTCACACGTTGGAAATCCTCAGATCTGGCACTTTAACATTTATTTAACTGAAGCATCACCCCAAAAAGCCTACATCTAAAACATTATGCTCTAACAATCTCTCTAATAAAAAATTTTCTATTCCATCCTGTCTTGGAAGACTAATGATCCAAAAGACTAGGAAAACCAGGAAAAGAAAAGCTACAATTGGTGTTTTCATAACCATCCATTAGTCTCCTCCAGATCAAGCTTTAACTGTTTAATAGTAACTAAAATATTTATTAATTCATTTGGAAACATATCACTTCTAACAGTGTTTTTCTGTACGCAAGTCAAGCATTCACTTCTGCTATTTGGTATTTTTACCTATTTATGGTTTATATTTCAAAAATTTATAAACTAGGTGAAGCCAACAGTTAACTGCAACAATAATGATTTACAAAGTGGTTGGAATAGAATATAAAAACACGAATAGTTGAACCTTGCGAAATACAAAACATTCAAATAACTATTCTAACTGAGGAGCATTTAATCTAGGAAATAAAAAAGCACAGAATTTCAGGCTGTAGCTCAGTGTCTTTCTGTCTTTATCCCTTAGATGAACCATGAAAATAGGCACTAGCCTGTGAGTACAGAACCTACAAACATTGAGTCTTATGATAATTTGGCAGCAGACTTAAGAAGAAACTTAATATCCTCTGCCTCTCCATTCCATTCCCTTCTTGTTTGTTCTTCAGATGAAGTTATGGTTTTTGATACAGGAGATTTTCATGTTTTCTTAGCCTTATTATAGGGACAAGTGGTGGCAGGAAGTAAAAAAAGGCTCTGAGTGAGAGAAGGCAACCTATAAATGTGGGCAGAGTCAACAACTGTGTAAACTCAAGGGGAGTTGTGTTGACCCAATTAGGGAAACTAGTTTCAATTGGGCTGCAGTGAAGTCACTTAAGTACAAATCATGGCATACACAGCTAGAAATATTTGTTATGGAGGTAGGGGTGGTGACTGATATTTTAAAGACTCTTTTAAATTTTAATGAGTTTCTTGTTTTGCATTCCTCTAATTCATTGGTAAGCACTGCTGGTTTCAAAATAAATAAAATTTCAAAGAAGGAATAGGAAAATTTATAATGATTATATCCCAGGGAAGCTTGCCAGATATTATGAATTCACTAATTTTAAGCTTAACTCCTCTAGTGGTGACTGGGAGGTATGAAACAAATGTATTATGGAACATGTAAGTAGCATGATAAATTGATTTACAAACTTAATAAAAACCCAGAACTTTCTGACAGTATTTGCATCTAAACAGGCATGTAACATGGGTCATGAAGAAAGTTTGGAGACATATTTTCAAACTGTATACTAAAATAAAACTAAAGATCCCAGTAGATTGACTACAATTCCATTTATTTTTTGGATAATTTATCCTGATATTTTCTAACTTCGCTTTCTAACTACCATACCCCTTGTGAAGGACACCAATAAAGAATCCCTGAAAATAGAGTGAGATGACTAACTGCGTATTTGTCTGAAATACATCTAAAAATTTCATTTCCAAGACATGAGTTAAGATTTTTATTTTAGGATAAGGAATAATTTCTAAGTGTTTCCCAGATTGAATGGTTCAGCAGATTACACAATTATCTAAAATATTTTATTATTTTGAACTTTTTTAGTTATAAGAGTCTTATGAAATATACAGATTCCTGAATATGAACATGATATCAAGCTATTAAATGTAAATACTAAGAAATACGCCGTCACTCCACATGCCCTTACAAAACAACCCACACGTCATTCACACAAGCCATCCAACGGCATAGTCCCCAACGCATACTCCTGCTTCCATATTGCGTGGCTCCTGTTGTGTAGAAGACAATTTGCCAGTAAATGATGACAAAATGAAAACATCTTACCCCAATTTCATTTCTTCATATATAAGAAAATTAACTCTCATTATTTCATAATTACTTCTACCAATATGTACTGGTATATTCTATTAAGCAAAATGATTGAACACACTTCGGCGTCTTTATTTTTTAAGTTACTTTAAATGACTGTCTTATTTGGACTCTTCAGTGATGAGAATGACCATTAAAGATTTGCATCCATGGCCCCCTCTGACACTCGGTCAGTGGCTGCTTGCACCATGACAGTGGCGTGGGGCCCACCAGCCCCGGGCCCTGCAGTGGTCTGTGTGATTGTGCACACACCCAGTCTACACCGTGCAACAGCCATGTTGCCACCTGAAGCCAAATTCCAAAGGAGAGGGAAGGCCGGCCTGCTTCTTCATTTGCTCTATAAAATCTACTTAAACCTTAGAACCACCTTCCTATCACTTAAATTTCTTTTTGCTTGCCTATCGAAATGGGAAGAAAAGAGTTTCAGATGAAAAGGCACCTTATTCAGAGATTAATTTTTTCTAGATCAACAAAGCTTCTACTTTTGACAGTGACTATTTTTCATAAACACTGGTAATGAATGTATTTACTTGAACAGGAAAATATAGACCATTTACATGTTAAAAAACAATCACGGTATAAAAATTAAGATGTCTCATCAGAAACAAGTGATTTTATATTTTTTTCTATAATCATAAATTTTATAACATTACTAGTTTCAAAAGGCTTCACTAATAGACACTGGAATACTGCACCAAATGAACAATTTTATGGCATTTAGTTTTGTATATTTCTAAGAACTGTAATAAAAGATCACCATGGTGATTGGGAAATGATGGTTGTTTATGGATGGATTTCTAACCTGGATAGTTCATTCAACTCTAGTGAAACTTTTGCTCCAAGTTCATCAGTGTCCCAGGGCTCAGTAAGGAATAAATAAGCAAAGATATCATCTGTGAAGAAGTAAATTTTCAATAGGCGAAAGCAGAAATACAATGCAAGAAATAACATAGCCTTGTATAAATTGAAGTTTTAAAAATATGTATGGTACCTAAATAAATGTGCATAAGAGCTAATAATACATACATATAGCCTTACTTTTCAAACTTAGGCATATATGAATCAAAGTAGGTATTCTATTCACATAAAATTTACATAAATATTCATATGTATTAATTACACAAAAATAATGGCAACAGTACTATGTTTAAAGTATACTATTTAATCACTAAGAAAGTAAATAACTTTCGTGTACCTTCCAAATAAGGTTGTATATTTGTAAGCAATGTTTTGTTTACTTATTTATATTTTAACAGCCAAAGCCACTAGAACACCAGGCATACAAATTATTTTATGGATATTTAGAAACTACCCAGTCCAATGTTACATTTAAACAAATTTAGTTATATTTAGTAACAAAAGGGAAAGTAAAGGACATAGTTCCAAATTTTCACTGCTCATAGAGCAAAACAATGCAAATTGACACTGTGCTATGGAGAATGATCAAGGAGATAAAATACACTCAAAGGTTAAAAATGTTACACACACACACGTATATGTGTGTGTATATATATCTCTAGGCAAAGTACAACCAGTCTAAGTAATGCTATAATAACCTAGCACCATGCAGGTCCTAACTAATGGTGAATACTGATTCATAAGCCAAATTACCTAAAGGGGAAATAGAACAGCAGTTTCATGGATTTGACACCTGAAATCACAACCACCTAATAACAGAGCGTCAACTGACGAAGAAACAAGGCGCAAAGTAAACAGCGAGAAGGCAGACACTCACCTTCGGTGCCATTGGGAGTCATGGAATTACTATTTATATGAGAGTTATCGAGTTTGGGACCACTGGGGGATTCTCCACCAGCACTCAGACGGCTATGCGGGCTGGTGAGATCCTGCATTTCCATAGACCTAAAGACAAGAAGCCTTCCGTTTGACAGATGTACCAAATTCATAACGCCACTATTTAATGCGCTAACGACTTGACACCTTCTTTGAAACACATTCGCACAAAAGTCCCATTGTATCTATTTTCTTAGACTCCAACTAGTTCATCTTACATTTTTAACTTCAGTCTTCCTTTCATAACGTGTACTATGAAAGGATGTCATCTGCCTCACCTATCTAGCCAAGTATTCACATGGAGTTTTAAAAATCTCTTTTTTTCTCTTATCTAGCTCATCAAGTAACAAGATGTGATGAGACAATTACATCTACTTTAATTTCCAAAGAAAAATGCAGCCATGCTTTTCCTTTTATATTGGAAAAAACCAAAGGCAATGATTTTCTAAAAGACAAATGCATCAACAGGTATAACAGAAAAAAAAATCATTTTCCTGTGGAATCTGTTTCATCTAATAAATTAGCACTAGATACTCCCTTATAATTTACCACCCAATTGTAATTTAATGGGTCTCCAAACCAAATAAAACACTTGAAGCCTATAGCCTAGTGACAGCGAATGAGATAGTCCTGATGCATGTGTTTACTCTGGCAAACTGCTTAATTGTTCCTCTGTTTCCCTTGAAACAAATGCAGCATTAAAACATGATGATGTCGGCTCGCTTGTTTGCTTTGTGGATTACATACAGCGTGCCCAATTGAAAAGGGATCAGGCCAACATACAGTGAGTCCCTGGGAGCATTAGCACTCGAAATACCTCAGCTGTCACTTACCCAAGGAAATAAGAACAATTCTGCGGCACTGCTCTCCTTTCGCATTTTTACCATATAAAAACAGTTAAGTCCCCCCCTGAAAGTTCTTAGCCTCAGGACTGACTTATTCTCCAAAAAGGTACAGAAGCCCCTACTCATGTTCACAATTGCACAACTATCCAATTATATTTAATATTCTATTAATGAAGAGAGGAGAAGTTTATTTAAAGTCACTAAAAACACCCCTAGATGCCGTTCTGTTTTCTGATAGACAAGTTTTTGAAAGTCTGAGGCCCATTCACTTTATTTTACACTTTACGCGTTTTCCTAAATAAAAGGGAGGGGTTTATGTTACATATACGAAGCTGAGACTGTCTGTGCCTCACCTCCACCAGGTCAATAAAAGCTACAGTCATTTTAATTTGGAGTTTGCACTGACACTGATTGTAAATATCAGTTTTTAAAACAGCTTAACATGAACCATTTTACTTCTAAAGTGAGTTTTCCCTTCCCCAAACCTTCTGAATTCAAACTAGAAATGGCTTAAAAGCTCACTCTTCTGTCCTAACTATCCTTCCACATTCACAGTTTTCCTAACACCAGAAACTATAGCCCATAATCATTTTCAAACCCAGGCTCCTCTTCCCTTTCTACATACTTCAAATTTTCACAAGCACACATACACACAAATTGTTAAGTAATTTCCAACCGAGGCTGTTGCTATTAATAGAAATAATTAAGAAATACTAGACAAAAATAGATATGGGTCACAGAAAGGTAATCTCCAGAGATGTCAAATACCAACGATATTTACCTGCAACTTGAGGAAACAGCAACATCTGAACTGGTCTGAGATGTTCGCACCTGTGATCAGGGGTAAAAAAAAAATTAGAAGCTGTTGTTACTCTGCATCAGTGTCAGCTCTTAATTATACAGAGCACATGGCTGAGAACGACAACGCTCTCTTTTAACCAAAAGAGAAAAAGGAGGGTGGTGCAGCAGTGAAAGGCATATTGTCTTAAGTTGAGGTCTCCACTGTTTCCTCCTGCAGGTCTACCCTCCTCCTCCCCTTGTCAGGGGGGAAGGCAGCCAAATGACGGGATAGTGATTCATCACTGGCCTATGACAGCTGCAAACGGGATTACCCCTCCCCCAATCAACATGCAAAGCAGCCCGGCCTGGGCAGCTTGGAAAAGGTGCTTGGAAAAAAATAGCTATTAGCAAAATGAGTGAGTTTCACAGCAGTAGTTCAAGAATTAATCCTCCAGCATCCTCAGAAGATCTTTCATCTTCTGCTATCGCCAGCTGAAATAGAGTTCCCGCCCACGCCTTTGACTCCTGACAGTTCTTATCCTTATCATGATGGTTTTCTCCTATATTTACTATTTGTCATTTAACATTCACTAAAACAGCTTCTGGGCAATCTTCAGGCTACGCTGGACCAACTGTAAATGGCAAAGGCGAGTTCTCATATCCCAAGTCACATCACGGAGCCATGTGCTCGTTTACCCATGCAAATTTCAAATTCAGCGAATGCTTATTCGTCTCTGCCTGGTCAAACAGAAAAGGCAGTTATCTTTTTGTTCAATTTTCCATCTTTTAAAACAGGGAAGAGAATGTAAAGTTTAATGATCAATTCAATATCCCAGTGAGCCAGAACTTTGGTCTCTTTGTCTCCAAGTGACTCTGTATTTCGGGACTTCACTGAACAACTACCTTAACGTGCAGCCTTTGCTAGTCTCTGCCCCTTCTCCGGAGGCAGCACAGACTGCCAGCAGGTGATAAACTCAGGTGAGGCCAGGCTGCTGGCTGGCAGGCACAGGCAGACGCCTCGCAGTAAAGAGCATTCTGCACAACGTTTAAAATGACTCAGAATTCCAAATCTTTGATGTGCATTTTCATTCAACCTGAACTGACATCAATTAGGGTTAGAGAACAAAGATGAGAACTGAAGCATCTCAAATGGCATTAAAGTTATCCAGCCAAATATCTTCTACTGAGTCCTGTTATTTTTTTAATTATGATTTATGAAATTAAGAAATACTACCTTTTTGGCAAGAAGAAAGCATCGTTTAAGTCTAAATATCCTGGTGTAATGTTACGTGAAATTTCTAGGTATGCTTTTCTATAATATGTGCAGGAAGAAAAATCATTTTTAAGAGATGCCTGAATATTAAATGAAAATTTAATTTTAATGCCTGCAGATATGTCATTTTGTGATAACAGCCTTCTGTAATTTTTGTTAAAGTTAGTATTCTCACACAAGATTAAACGTTTTCCTTTAGAAACTGCAACAATATACCTCAAGGATAAATTTCCTTTTTTTTTCCTTTTTTTTCTGCTGTTATACACCTGGAATAAATTATAGGTGAGAACTAAGTTTTAAGAACTCTTCTGGCTTAATTATGTGAAAGAGTAGGTAAAACATACTTTCTGTTAAATGTTAAAATGCATTCCTCTTTTACCATTAGCTAGATAGCATAATCTTGGAAATACAACTTTAGTTTCATCGTATAATTTGAATGTTTGATTATATTTATATTTGAGGTTTAACCTATCATATTTAAATTTCAGAGTCAAACTGTTAATATAAAAGGGAACTTCAAAATAAGAATTATTCTAACACGTTTCCTCACTGAAAAAATGCATTTTCACAACAACATATTTCTTTTACGCTTGTTCGACTCAGGTTCTACTGTACTTTCTTACACTACAATTTTTGAAAGTCCATATCCATGATCTTCATTTCATTAAGTATACTTCAGATATATTCTTTTGTGTCTCAAGGATTATTTAAACCATGTGTTGTGTGTTACTGTATTTAAAAATCACTCTTTAATCAAAATAACTTTAAAACAACTAATCCTCACTTAGGCTGGTCAGCTGAATCCACATCGAGGTCCAGGAAAAATAAATCTACTCTCAAGAATGCGAATGCAGACAACAATTAGACACAGATGTGAGCAAAATTAGTTACAGTTTACAAAATGCTACACTTCACATGCTTTTAGTTTCTTATGTGTAGTACAAGATTACAGCCCACTAAGGAAACATACTCTCATAATGACTTATCTAAAAAGAACACCTATTTCTGATTGGTGTTGATTTTCTCTTATCTTGGACAATCTCTCCGCAAGTTTCTGTGTTTTAAAGGTCTAAAACCATAAGACGCTTCAAAAATAATTAATGAGGCATATTTCCATTCAAAAGAGAAAAAATTATTTCATGGTTTTCAGCAAAATGCTGATAGGCATTCAGTGAGCTCACATTTTCTCCTTTATATCCATAAACTCAATGTTTCTTGTCTTCTCCTAATCTGGTACTTTTAATTCAAATGCTCCTATGAGTGCAAAAATATTTCCCATAACCTTATAAATGGTCACCTTATGTTACAATGAAATCATTTCACTTTAATGCTTTTTAAAACTCTTTGTATGGAACACCCAGAGTAGCACACTGAGTTGTGAAAATACAAAGGGAAAAAAGATAGCAGAACTTCTTAGAATTTAAATTCAAGAATCCTAAACTAGTAACTTTGACTTCTGATTAGTTAATGAGGTCTTTTAAGTTTGCCTTTTTTCTAATTAAATTTATAATTCTTCACAGATGGAACTTTTGTTGATGTTCAATTTGTCTCTCTCATTTTGTTAAACCTCACATAGTACTTCGCCAATCCATTGAATAGCCACATTAAATCTGTTAATACCATGCTCTTCAACCCCAGAAATTATTTCCAGAAGGCAAACTTGCTTTGAGAGATCATCAAACAAGACTTAAGGTACACATTTTATCACATTTTCCCTACCACAGAGCTCAGGATGCAGAGCAAAATTCATGACTTTTGCACTGTTTATTATACTTTGCTAAATTACAAATCAAAAGCATCTGACAGAAGATCATGTATGAAGCCAAAAAGTTAATAATGTTCTGTGAAAAGTAAACTGTAAATGGGAAGGATTCGAAATCTCAGCAGCACAGAGCAAATAAAATGTAGGTACTTGTCTAAATTATGGGTTTTTCCATAGGCTTTTTGCTTGCTAGAAGCAATTTTTATAAAATGACTATAATTTTAAACTTTTTTTTTTTCAAACTAAGAAGAAATTTTCAAAGTGAAAGTACTGAACTTATCTAAATAAATAGAGTTGGCAGGCAAGTTAGTTTTGCCCAACCACAGATCGACCGGAGTGCTCCCAAATTTGAAAGACAATGGCAATTTTCTAATCAGAATGTATTTTATAGGGGCAAAAAAATGTGCCTTAGGCATCAATCTGCTTTTTAATCAGAATATATTCTTGCTAAAATTCTCCTCAATCAACATTTCTAACTATAGTGTCAACGCTGCAACAAAATCCTAAACCTAAAATTCAACTTTTAGGAAGAAGGAGATGTCTTCTACATGCTAACACTTATTTTTTTCTTCATCAAAGACTCCATAAAATGAATGCCTTAATACTATTACTCATTTTAAATGTAATGCACTGTATTACTTTTTGAAGTAGCTTGTTTAAAGAAAATGACAAAATAGAGTTCCTGTGGAAACAAAACCAAATTTAAATGACATTGATTCTACCTACAATTTTAAAGGATTGTTTTCAAAATTGGCATTTATTTAAAATGTTGAATGAAACACTTTGCTATCTGATTAAATGGAAGAAGTGATTTTATTGTCGCAGCAAGTGGTTTCTCTTCTTTCCAATGTACTCCTATAAAATACATTTTCGCATTCAAATGGAAATTTTCTTTTGAGAAAATCATTTATCATGTCTAGAAAACTCACACAGCAGTTGAGTGCCTTTGGCACTTGAAAACTGAACAGTGGCTCAATTAGGTTTCTCTGTCTGTCACCGCGAAGAATTTTCAGGATTGAAAATCCATGGCTGCTTTCTCACTTACTGAACACTTTGGGCCTTAGGAGAACTCAAGCAGCGAGAAAGGAAAATATCAAATATTTGATAATGCAAAAAAGCGTGACTATTCATGTATGCATGTCCTCAGATCCCAAACGGTGGGCGAAAGGACTCACGCAAGCCTAGAATAAAACCTACTCTGAAAGAGACATTAAAAAAACAATCCCAAACCTATAAAACTATACTATGTGCTTAACTACTGATTTCTTGTTGCCCCTGTCATTTTAAGAAATGAAACATAAAAATGCTTGTCTAAATTCAATGACAGCTCTGAATTTACAAATTCTTGCAAATGCTATGCTTAATGTGTTCAAAAATTCCTCCCCAGAAATATAAGCCTCTGAGACATCAGCAATTCATATACTGATTTTGAATGACAAAAATTTAAATAGTAATTCCAAGGTTTAAGAATCTTGTTTTTAATTTCAAGGTCCATTCAAGTCATCTAAAGTGTCAATAAGTGAAAAATATATTAATTTGGCAAATGTTTATTATTTCACCTCTTGAAGACGAGCCTGCATAACTTAATGTTTGGGAAGTTCGTTGATTGAAGCAGAAGGATTTCCTTCCTTAAAAAGTGGTATCAATTTATTTTTGTTATCTGTTGTCCTTTCAAAATGTGAATGCCTTCCTCATTTTCTCATATCGACCTAAAAGTTATCTGTGTGTTATAACGGAGCTATACGTATATATACACCGCTTTATTCAATATCACACAATAATAGTTAAGGTTTGTGCAGCGATTCAGAAAAGATGAAGTCATCTCCCTGAAAGAATACAGTCGTGTTATTATATTTATTAATATAGATCACAACAAAAGTATTTGTTAACAATTAATTTGTAATTATCTCAATGATTCTAATCGCTCAGATAACGTGGGGGTTAAGAAACATACTTCTATGACGGAAGCCTGTGGCTAATAAAGTAGTACGTACAACGTGTCAGAATCTTCCCGATGCCCTAATGTTTGTATTTTAAAACAAATCAAAACAATACTAAAAGCGCTCCTGTTATCTCGGGCTTTGCCCAGAGGACAGCTGTTGCCAGCCACTACAATTTTTCAAACAGTCAGCTTGTACTTACAGCGCTTACATCTGCTGCATCCACCAGTTTAATGCGCTCCTTCGAATTTTCTGCTTTAGCAAACCTCCATTCCTGACATAGTTTGGCTCCTGGATAAGGACGCGGGAGGGCTTTTAGGAGCTCTCGCTGGAGCCCGGCGCTTCTGGAAGCGGAGCGCCTCTGGAGGGGAGAGCCCGGCCGCGGGGACCGCCGCCTGGCCGCTGCTGCAGGCTCGGGCTGCCGAGCGACTGAGCGAGGACGCTTCCCCCAGCCGGCAAGCCGCCACAGTGCACGGCAACAGGAAGGCTTAAAGTCGGAAGTGGCACTGGAGAGTTTCTACCTCGCCCCAAACTCGGAGCCATCAGCTCCCACCGTTCTGTTTAGCAACCGCTTTGAGCCCTGCGCTCTGTCCCCACTCAACAGCAGCCGCAGATAGCATCTGAGAAGCCTAGACAAAGAAACAGCAGAATCTCTTCCCTCGATTTGTTTGCGCAGCCTTGTAGGGCTGCCCTGGAGCCTCCGGGCTTTTTTTGTTTTTGCAACGCAAACCACAGCTATTCTCTTGTCCTAACCTTATTGGTTTAAATGCAACAATTGAAAGGAGCACGGCTCTGTCTGACTCAACCTTGCTGCCTAAAAAAAAATTTATTATGTAAATGAACGCGCCCCATGCTATCTGAATAAACAGCTGCGTGAGAAGAACTTCTCGCAGACACTGTCAACACACATCTCTTGCTGCAGCAGCTACCAATTACGAGCTTTGGGGAGCAGTTACACGTTATCTTTTATACTTTTGCAAAACTTTTTTTTCAGGCTCTGAAACTTGGAGAATCAATACTTTTCAAAACATTTTTTCCAAATGTACCAACCAACAGGTCTGGGGCAAATGAAAAAGAGAATAGCCATTTCCGTATCAAGTGAGGGAGAAATAAAGCAAACGTGTAAGCTATTATCAGCTTAACAATGAAAGCCTGAATCATGAATCTGTGATGATTTGTAGGATGGCAAGTTTTACATGAACAATTTTTTTTGGCTATGAACCAGATAATATTTCTGTGTCAATATTTTTAAATGATTTTGGGGAAAATATTTATTTTATCTAGAACTCTTTCTTTACAGTCTGTTCTTTAAAAAAATCCTAACTGAACTCAGGATCTGTGCACAATAATCTAACACTCAGAGAGTTGAGCTATTCACTTGATGACTCAGTTTAAGATATTTACTGTCATGTTTTAGGCAAATCAATTACTTCAGTTATTAGATCGATGACTTCACCATTATATTGATTTCAAATATTTAAAGAAGAGATCACTTGTGTGACTGTTGTATTTTAATTTGCTAACTCTAGACCACAGTAAAAATGTAAATGTTTATTTTGATACTACTCACTCATGCTAACCAATTTTGTACTCTAAAATAAAACCTTTATACCCACTGGATTTTTCTTAAAACTATTTTGTCATTACCGATAACCCTATTCTATGTATTTAGTCTTTTCATTAGTAATAACAAATATTCTCTTTTTTAAAAAGCTCTCGCTCTGGTATGAAAAAACATTTTTAAAATCACAGCAACTTTGTGAATGATTATATAATACATTTCCAGATCATCAACTAATAAAACAGATAGACATGTTCTTACCTTTGCTAATTTGTAAATGAAAGCACCATTCTGATGCGAACAAAACAAAAAGCTTCTAATGACCAAAATTCAGTGTGGACTTTCCCCACTCTCTCCCCTGAAAGGATGCCAATCTTAATTCCTCAGAAAAGAACCCTTTGTCAAACCTGAGACGGCTTAAACTGCAAACTCACCTAGGATTTCATTTTGTATGGTACCGGCAAGGAATCATGGGCTAGTCATCTACCATATTTGGGAGGCCAGGTCAAAAATCAGTTGATTGCTCTTGGATCTGTCCATATATGCAGCAGAAATAGAATTATGTTATCACCTTCAGTGCTTTCTCAGATCAGAAGTATCAGTTATTCAGTAGAAGGTATACATGCAGAAAATAAAATACAGCACGTAATGGAGGTTGCTAGCGGCATGAGATAAAATGTAACGTTACATTAATTCAATCGGTGATATCAAACACCTGCACAGTAGCTGCTTTGGCTCTCGTATTTATTTCTAAGCTCCATAAAATGTAAAATTTGAGGTGTTGGTTGGAGAATTCAACCCTGTTTGAAACTTTACATTAAGCTACTGTACCCATGCTTCCCATAGTTTCAAAATTATTTGAGACATAAAAGGGTAAAATATTTTTCTGATCCCTGAAAGATTATGTTGGCAAAGCCAGAAGGCTTGAACTACATGCAGTCATAACAGCAGGAGAATCGTCTAAACTATCAGACTTTTACATATAAATTGTTTGCCTGCATTATAATCAAATTTATCATATTACATTAGTTTTTATATTGAAATTCAATTATTTTTATTTATATAACCAAACAAGATACCATTAAAGAAATGAGGCATGTAATTATGAAGAAAATTATGAAAAGCATGATGAATGTAATGTGACCACTAATTGATATGATATAGGTCATGCTTTGTAATTATGTAACAAAGAGCTTAGTCATTGGCTAAAAGAAATATGCACATGCGTATATACCGCTTTTAAATGGTTTCCTTCTCCTAAGGCAACATTAGATGAACTAAAAACGATCACATGCTTAGCCATAAATTTTGTCTGGTTACTACTTCTGAATATCAAATATGCAATAATTACTGTACAACTTACATCCAAAATCAGTTATTCTCTGACAAATAGCCAAAATGTTAGCCATTACTAATAATATCCAGTTTGTAATGTACTGTTAACTTTCTATTTCTAAATTTTCACCAACTATAATTATATAACTTACCATATACTGTAAGGACAAAAGTGTTCCCTAGATAAAGTCATACACATTACAAGAGAAACTAGGAAGAAATGTTGAAAATTTGCCATTAGTAAAGACAGGTAATATGAGAAAACATGACTTCCTGATGTTTCCTGCAGAAACTTTAACATATCAACATATGAACAGAAGTAAAAATTTTCTAATATGCTTTTCCCCCACTAAAACAAAAAAATAAAATACAATTTTATCTGTTTTATCTGGAAAACACTTGAAATAGTCAACTATCACAAAATGTCTGAATGCCATTAAAGAGACAATATCTTTCACATACTATATCTCCAAACAGGTTTTCTCTCACAGATCAAGCTTTTGCCTAGACATGTGCCTAGTTATATAGAAGTCTGTAGTTTTGATAGAAATTGTTGGGGCTTTTCAATTAAGAGAGAATTTTAAATAAACGCATGATTGCAAAAATAAACAAATGCCCCTAACTAAAAAAAAAAAAGACAAGGGCAGATGTAAGGTATTCATTAGTACAATAGAAAAGGTAACTTGGAACTTTTCTAAAACTACATGAGTAAACAGCTGATTAATCAAATTAAATATAACAAACAAACATTGAGAAAAGAAAGGATAAAACACATGCCCTTCTCCCTTTTCCATTCCAATAAAAATAATAAAGTTCTTGAGTAGTTGTGAAGTTTCCAATAAAAGATGTCCTCACAAGTGACTTTTCTTCTATTTGTGTTTATCTTTAAATAATCGTGGAATGAAGCACGAATGCTATTCCCAGGTCCCATGTAAACCATCTCTTATCTCTGTTTCTACCATTCTTACGAGATTATTTCTCAAGAATAATGGTATGGTAAGCTGCAAAATATAGTTAGCACTTAAAGACCAATGCTTTTTCTTCAAAAGCAAAATCTCAGTTGTTATTTCCTCCACATTATTAAAATCAAAAATATCTGGAAATATTCAACATGTTGCGATTCAAACCGTTCAAAGTGGAACAGCAAAATAGAGTCCAAAATACTGTAGGTCTAGTGCTTCTGCTTCCACACAGCTCTCTTTTTCTCGTGGTCCATGCCATGGCACTACATCTGGCTTCTTTATGAAACCGTTGGAACAGTGTCTGAATGGCTGACATTACGATCCTTGCTGGCATTTGGTGTGGTCACTTCCATGACCTACTCTCTCCCCACTGGCACGAGACCTACAATGAGGGCCCTGCTCCCAGTAGCCTTCAGCTGAAATGCAACCAAGGAAAACATCCTCTATTTATTTTAAGAATGATCTTAAATCCGCCAAACTGAATGTCTACCAGTATTTTGCTAAATGTTTTCCATTCAAACTCCAACCTGAATAGCTGTTAACAGTAAATTTAAGGAGGCAATTACTAACTATTCACTGTGCCATGGAAAATTATTTTAATACATATTATAGTCTTTATACCAACACAATACGGAAACATAACCTATTTCCTGGTCTCCTAATAAGCACATTGGTTATTACACATGAATAATAACCATTTATTTATGTAGGGTGGGAAACTTGTTATCATATGTAGTAATGACTGTCTATAGGATGTTTTTTAAAAAAATTATTATTCTTAATAGAAACTCTGAGCAGCACTTCTTGGAACTAATAATGATACCAAGGGAAGGAGCAGATTTTTAAGAAAAGGGAATGCAATGATGGAGGCACTTTAAGAAAATATGACATATCAGGTTTTCTATTTCAAAATCAACGGATTTTCCAAAATGGCAAACTGAATTACTTTTTCTACCTTCTGCCAAAAATATGAAAATAACTGGTCTTGGAAGCAAGTGCTGAATCTCAGCAATAAGCTATTTTGCTTTCTCACACTGTAAAATGGTTTTCTGTTAACCTGAAGCAACCTAGAAAACCCAGGTTGTCTCTTCAACCTTTTTTTCCTCTAAGCCGTGGGCAAAACCAACCTTGTCTGCCCCTCCCAGGACATGTAAGAGGATCTGGAAATTTGCTTTGTGTTTTCCAGGTTTCATGACAGCTGAGTTCACAGTGTTTGAATTCTTCAGAAACAATGAATAGCTCATGGAAGAAGGAAGAGGTTTAGCATTTATTGAGTGCTTACTACATGCCAGGCACTCTGCTAGGCATTTTATATACATTCTTCATTTAGTTTAACAAATAATGTAACAGCTAATCTGTATGAATCCAGCTTTTTACAAATATGTTTATACCCCCACTATTTGTTCTGGAATCTGCCTCATTTCTCTAGCACCATCAAAGTTACCACTAAACAGGAGTTAAAGCAGTGGTACATTCATGCATCCTGATTGTAGGATCATTTTGGAGCAACGTGACACTCAATAAAGTTAATAAATCCAGAAAAGTGTGTGGTATATTGAGATGATATATATTGAAATGATATATTCAATATAGAATAGACACAATCACAATACAACATCAGATTACTCACAAACACATTTGCAAGTCAGTTTGCAGGTTCAAAAATAAAAGTACGTTAAATGGTCAATAGGGAAAAAATACGATGAATCCTTAAACTTGGAATTACCAAATCAGGAGATATATTTTTTCTCATTATTTATGAAAAAGGTGAATTATCTTCCTGAAGTAAGCCTTATAAATATTCCCAAATTTCTTTCTAATAATGAGGAGAAGCTAAGCATTTGAGTTTACAATAAGCAATTATACGGATAACCTGCTTTACAGTTCCATCAATTTCTTCCCTTTTGTATTCCTTAACTTCAATTATCCAG